TGTCGCATTGAACTGCCATTTTTTTTTCAAAATGCATTACCGTTGTTATCGATCAAAGAAATGATAACCATAATAATCCTTAGAATACATAAGAATTCCACTATGGTTGTAAAATTTCATAAAAATAAAATACATTACTTTGTAGTGTTAAAAAATTTGGTAGATTTTGCAGTCAGTATGTTGATGTAAAAAGATAAGCAGAATAGAACAAGTGTTGACATGTTATGAAATCCACATATCTGATGACATAGACGGCGCACCAACAAAACAATAGGATGCAATTGCTTCTTGTCAGAAAAATTAGGGAATGTAATCCGAGATTATTGTTTCGCCTGATATCTGCCTGTTTTAGTAGTTGTTATGAAAAGATTGATAGACAGTGCCAGAAATTATCTGTATAATTTGACTCGTGTTATATATATATATGTATATGACATTTGTCCTTATCAAAGAAGCTAAAGGTCGGTTAATAAATATCATATGATTGGAGAAACACAGAGATCGCTCATCTTTTCTTTTTTATCCATGACAGAAAGTACATGCCTATTAGCCGCCTTCTCTATTTTATATTCTTTTACAAGTTTATGATTAGCTTCTAATTTATTTGTTTAATGTCTGAAACAAGTAAAGAAATCCAAAAAACTCCACTACAAGAAAAATATAATAGTACAGCTATTCTAAATACGAACGAAACAATTATTTTAGGTGAAACTGGATAATACAACATCAGTACCACCATTTTAAGAGTGTGGGTGTAGATGTTAATCTTCTCTGCACGAATTTATACATACACTCCAACAGATCACTAGAGGCTATTTAGTTTATATGAAAGGGAAATAGTAGATTTCAAGATTGAATTTGTATCGAAATAAAAATATTTTGAAAATAAATAAACTGATTATTCGTAAGACTTGAACTGAATTTATTGTTTTGCTTAAAAAGTTTAGTTAGCACTGCTTATGTCTGACGAATAATCATAATTAATAAATTATATTGTTTTATATATCAATTATGCAATGAGATTATAGTTGCGTTATTAAGCTTGAACAGTATTAAATCCATCACGAAGAAATAGAACATTAATGTTACCAGCTTTATCGATCGAAAGTTAAAGAATATTATCTACTGCTACTCATGCATCTTCGATTGGTACATGGTCAGTAATCTTTCTTCATTAGTTCATTCAGAGTTTGATTCATTGGTGATATATGCAGATTCAATTCATTCGATGTTATCGAATGCTTATTCTAGCGTCATCTCCTTACTTATCCCATAAGTAAGTGCAAGTATCCGTTTCAACTACAAACGAAGTAAATGTGCTTTAAATAGACCACACAAAAGACTTACGAGGGAACATTCCCAAGTGTCACATCGCTTTTGAGTCGAGTGTATGCGCATCATGTAGGTCCCAATAATCTATGAAAACTCTGAAAAAGTTCGTACCGCTTGCTTATTACTGCCGAGATATTGCATTTTTATTGTATGTTTAAAACAAAAAAAGCTGTGGTCCCCCTCAGGAGCGCTAGAAAAACTAAATTTCGAATTTCGACTTGAAATTTTGCATAGAGATATAGGCCTCAGTGAGAATAGTTTATTGTGAAAGTTTCAGATCTTTTCGTTGTTCCTATCCTAAGATACAGCTATAGTAAAATATCTTATATACACCAGCAGATTTCGATGTTCTTATTTCAGACTAGGAGCAATCAAAAGATCTGAAACTTTCACAATAAACTATTCTCATTGAGACCTATTCCTGTATAAAATTTCAAGTTGGAATTCGAAATTTAGTTTTTCTAGTGTTTCTGAGGAGGACCACGACTTTTTGCTTATAAATACAATAAAAATGCAATATCTCGACAGTAATAAGCTAGTGGCACGAATTTTTTTTGGAGTATTCATAGATCATTAGGGTCTACATGATGCGCATACGCTCGACTCAAAAACGATGTGATACTTGGGAATGTTCCCTGGTTAGCTGCATTACCACTATCAAATCCAATATTTCTCCTAGATGAAAAAGACATCTATCAGTTAACCATGCTTGATATGAGCTAACACGTTGAATGTTTAGTGGTCTGTTAGTCATATTTATTTCTTTTCAGAGATAAATCATAAGTGCAAATTATTTTTCCAATCGTGAACTAATGTTTTGTATAATTTATTGCGACTAAAACTAGCCCAAATAGGTACTGTCTTTATGCAATCAACATCGTAGTGGTTGTGTTGTACTCTTTTAGAAAAGTGCTGATGACTCCAGTCGAAGATAATCAAATGTATGTAAAATGAGATGTGTATGACAATAGATGTCTGCACCTATTTGAAGAACTGGAGAGCAACGAAAGACACCTATTAAAGGTTCTAGTAAAGTCTTGGTGATGTATGTTCCATTTGAATGGAACACCAATTTAATTTTTTCATAAAATGGAAGAGGAATTATAATGATGAACAATCAATTCTTCAGACATAGTTCTATGGGCAAATATTTCAACATTATCGATATAAAAATAGATGTAGACAAATAAATCAAACGATATGACGAATACTTATTCGTATAATATGAATATAATACAATAACATCAAGAGAAAAATCGAATAAAAACTAAGATAACAACGATGACGACCTTAAATTTGTAAAGTAATAAATATCATAAAGAAAAAAAAATGACGCGATACACGTTGTCATCTTTTAGTACATCATGCCGTATTAAACTGTAAAGTAATAGATATTTTATTTGAATGTTAATAAACTCATTATCATCAAAAAGAACTGAGATTTTCTATTAATATTATAGAGACATCTCTTGGTATGATTTCTATTCGTTGATCATTCAAGCTAATATAATTTTTCATTTTCTTTTGAAGCAATAATCAACGCATGATAGGCAAATCACTAGAAGAAATATTTAGTTTACCTGTTCATATAATCAAATCTGGTATTTTGCAAGATAAATTTTTGGATGTATTATAATTATTTCATCAATTGTAAAATTATATCTATTTTATGCATATTTAATTTATTTATTTTTATTGCATATTATATTCATGGTGTGTTTTCTAGTGTTTATCATTGATTTTAAACATTAATGGCATCTAACAAACAAGAATTAAAACATCTATAATTGATATATTATCAATATAACAAACTAAAATCCAATGTTTATTTTTTTCGGTAAAATTTGATTAGATAGATCTCATGAGACAATAAAATATAATAATAATATTAAAGAAAAAGTAAATTCATAATTTAATTTAGTCTCAATAATTGAATAACAAAAACTGGAAGTATTCAATATCGAGATAAATTAATCAAATTCAAATCTCGTCGATAAAAAAAAATAAAGCATCTATTTTAAAATTTTCAACTAATTTGGATTAGTTTTTATTGCATTATATTCTTTTTATTTATTTAAGGATGGTGATCAATGTCATTAATTAATCAATTTACGATAACACAAAAAAAAAATAATAATTCTTATGATGACATAATTCTAATCCAAAATAAATCTTGCCCATTGAACAAATGAATTATTATATTAATGAAGACAAAATTTATAGAATCGGTCATCAAAAGCATTACAATAAAGAAAACAATTAAATATCTTCGCATTGATTTTATCAAATGGGTTGGTTTTTTTAGTTAGTAGTAGAAGTTTATTCAAAGTTTTTTTTTCATACGAAAAAGGTAAATAAATTCTACCATGAAGTTTTATTGTTAGTATCGTAAAAGCGATTTTACCTATTATCAAGTAAGAAGAATATATTTGTAGCGTTTTATAGATAATTTTCAATTGCCATCTAAAACGGGAAGTCCTCCAACTGATAGATCACTTTTAAATTGAGACTATGTGTATTATGTAGATCTAAATGAATGATGAACACTCTGAAAAGAGCTCATGTCCTTAGCTTATTGTTATGAAGATACTGTACTTTTGCGGTATTTTTTAAATGAATGGCATGGTAACAGAAAAACTTATTTTCGAATTTCGACTTGAAACTTTGCACAGAAACAGGTCTTTTGATTTGCTTCTATTCTGAAATAAGAACATAAAATCTACCAGTTTATATAAGCGATGTAAAAGTCATCCTATTACCATAGTTGTATCTTTGGATGAGAACAATGACAAGATTTGAAACATTCACAATAAATTATTTTCGTTACGGCTTGTCTCTAAGCAAAGTTTCAAGTCGAAATTCGAAAATAAGTTTTTTTTGTCAACACGGCATTCATTTAAAAAATACCGTAAAAGAGCAGTACCTTCGCAGTAATAAGCTACAGGTGCGAACTCTTGAAGATATTTGTAATTTATTTGGTTCTGTACAATCCACATAGTCTCGACTCAAAAGTGATTCATCAGTTGAAGAACTTCTCTTGTAAGAGAATAATAAGAAGTTAAAATGAACTTTATGAAGGATACTATATTGATGCACGTAGAGCAAATTTTTAAAATAAGTTAGTTTAAAGGTCAACAGTTATAAAATTTCAAACCTAGAACACTGGTTTTTTCAAGGAAGTTGGTGTTTTAGTGTCTAAATGACTGCAATTATACTTTTTATTTATAGACACATATTTCAGTATTTAAACTGTCTAGTTTTAAAAACTTGTTTTGCGTGCATCAATATAGTATCATTTATAGAGTTCATTTTAATTTCTTATTATTATTCTCTTAGACAATAATTGAAAAATATCTATAAAATGCTTCGTATGTATTTTTCTTACTTGACAATAGTATTTATTTACATTATCCATATGAAAAAAAAAATTTTAAATAAGCTTCTATCACTAATAACAAAAACCAGGCCATTCGACTGAGCTGAAGATAGTTCAATTTTTAATCGTAGTACTACTCATGATACATCCTGTATATCATTTTAGTTTTGATAGATTTAAGAAAAAGAATATTTTTAATGATCATTTAATCGAAAATAATTTCTATTATTTTTCTAGATATTTTTTTTTCTTCATTTTTCGTATAAACTATCAATCACATTTGACCTATGTGATGTCGGATATACCTACAGATAGAGTAACACCGGTGCATTTAATACAACAACGACAACCAAGAATCCCACCACAAAATGCCGATGGTGATACAATGGAACGACTTTTTCAAGCATTATTTTATCGTATTGCTGTTATTTATGCTCGAGCCATTCCAAAATATATTCGTCGATTAGGAGAAACTGCGATACTTGTCGTGGTATTTATTATACATAAATATATTCATATTATTAAAGAATAATTTTTTTTTTTTGAAATTTTAGGCAATTTTTTGTTTGGGTTTACTTATTTATTTTCATGTTGTATTCAATCAAAAACCAATGACATGTCTATCTCATTTACATAATGTATGGCCGAAAGATGGTGTACTTCGTGTTGAATTTTTTTTAGAAACACCACCAGAAGATTATAATCTTCAACAATCTTATGCTAAAGAATATCAAAATAATTATATTTATAATAGTGATGATCATAATGAAAATTCATCTTCATCAAAACAATCATTAAATGTAAGAAGAATTTTTTTTTCTGAACAAATTGAATTCTTTTTTTTTTTTAACCATTAAAGAATCTTCCAGTAGTTGATATTCCAATTGAACCATTAGAAAATCCTGTATTAGAAGAATCTTATTTTAATATGAGTATAAATTTTTCATTAATGTCTCCAATTAAACCTTGGAATAATTTATTAATAAATAATTCATTAAATAAAATAATGAATGATAGTTCTCAATTAATAAATATTGATCAATTTGATGATGATGATGATGATGAAGATGAATCTTTTTTTAATACTCTCCATGATTATTTATTTAATTTTGATTGGCTTCAACAATTATTACTTGAAGAACAATATATTCTTGAATATTCACTTGAATATGGATTTTTACGTTTACCACCAAAAACTCGACAACGACTTAATATTGAAGTTTTATTGGTTACATTAGGTAAGAAAGAGAAAAAAAAAACAAAACATTTTCTTCTTATATTTTATTTTAATTTTCAAAATTGATAAGAGGAAGGAAGAATATCTCTGCCTTTTGGTTACCTTGCAGTATGGAGTACGGCCTAGTGGTAGATTCAATATCCGAATATTGTTCCTACAGCTAGTACTAGCTAGAACTCAAGACAGAAAGCCAGCTTTATGCAGAGTTTTTGTGTTCAGTTGCTTAAGCTCTCCATCACATAATAGCCACAAAGGCAGGTGTGTTACACCGTAGCCAACATGCTATTGGATGGATGATTCAAGACAAATAGCCATTAGTAACTTACTCAAGGTCATTTCATGGCTGATAACACAGCACCTTGTGAATACGTGTCGAACAAAGCAGTCATTCAACTATGACGGCCTCAAAATTGACAAGAGCTAACATATCAAAATGCTTATGTTCTTGTAAAATATCAATTATGATTAATTTTATCATGATGCCTCACTGAATTATCCACGAAAATATCTTTTTTTCGAACTTCAAAGACAGGTTCTCGAATCATGACAAGAGTTAGGGTTGCTCGCTTATTACGGTTGCGATGCTGCATTCGGACAGTATTTTTAAGAACAATGCTGTAGTCCCTCTCAAGAACAACAAGGCAACAGAGTTTTGAATTTCGACTTGAAACTTGTCACATGAATAGCTCTCAATGAGATTAGCTCATTACAAAAGTTTTACGTTTTGTAGTTATTTCTATTCAAAGATAAGACTATGACAACTGCATGATGTTTTTTACATTGCTTATATACATCCGAAGGTTTTGATATTCCTGTTTCACAATATAAATAATTACAAAATCTGAAACTTTTACATTAAACTATTCTTATTGAAAACTAAATTAGTTTATAATTTTTCTTTTGTTTCTTGTTTTCTTTAATAAAGATATAACAAATAATACATGTTTTGGTGGTGGTCTTAGCCGATTTATGCTTGATCATTTTATTGGATATGAAGAAATTCTAATGTCTAGTATAAAACAATTGGCCGAAAAAGAAACTAATAAAGGTATATTAAATTATTGATCTACATCAAATAATTATAATTGAAAAGAAAAGAACATCGTTTAGGTTATGTTCGTAATGTAATGACAAATGATCATTTTCGTTTTGTCAGTTCATTACAAAATGGTCGATGGTGGACATATTCAGTTGCTTTATGTATCATGGTTGTTTTTGTAAGTTAAAAGAAAAAAATAAATAAAAAACCATTCTATTATAGATGTAAAATTTCTTTTTGTTTTGTTTTTTTATCAGACAATTAGTATTTCAATGCTTCTTCGATATTCACATTTTCAAATATTTCTTTTTATTGGTAAATAAAAAAAAAATTAGAAATTTAATCTTTCTATTTTTGTGATGAAAACTCAAATTTATTTTTTAGTTGATCTTTTACGTATGATTGAACATAATACATCAGTTGTATTTCCTGCTGCTCCATTACTGACTGTCATTTTAGCACTTATCGGTATAAAAAATGAATTATTTTTTCTTTTTTTGTTTTGAAAAAATTTTATCTTATTTATTTTCTGAAAGGTATGGAAGCAATTATGTCGGAATTTTTTAATGATGCATCAACAGGTGATTAAATTTGTTTCATACTTATTTTAGTCTTGATTTTTTTTGAAACACGATTGAAAAGAAGTATTGAAGTATATGGGATAGAGATTTGTATCTTTCCTCCACAGACACATTAGAAACAGCTCATCACAGAGACTATGGTAGACACCTTTGCTATACGCCTTCCTCTCTTTTACAAGCGGTGACAAACACCATATCAATATTCTCTCAGCTTACACTACAGATTGTATTGATATACGTTCAAAAACCGTATGTCAATAATGTGTCGTTATAGTAAATGAACTAATTCCTTGTGGAATTTCTGAAAAGTTAAGCATTCCCACTTAGAATGGACCGTTTGGACTGAAATTTACAGAAACGAGGGGTCCTGATGACAAACGTTTATGATAAAAATTTCAGCTCGATATATTATACTAGATCGAACTTCCAGTTTGTTTATGTGGCTTTCAGAAGAATCGTTATAACTTTCGGTTATATCTTGATCTGAGTGAGAGTTATTTCAATTTTCCTGCCTGGAAATCATGTTTTGAGAAAAATGCTAAAGAAATTTTAGAAATGGATTTTTTCATTCAAATCCAGATAAAGATCATATTACAATTACATATTTTTAATACATTTCAGTAGACTGTTTTAAAGCACGTAACAGATGAAGATAACTAATTCCATCTGTCATGCTGGTTATTATAAAAATGTTCTATTCATTCAAAAAAATTGAGTTTTCTCAGGTGGCTCTTAAGTAAGAAGATAGCGAAGAAATGGGTCCCAAATTTGATAGAGTAAAGTAATCTCCCTGTGATCAGTAACAGCAACTGCATCGTGTTTCACATTTTACTTCAGTAGAAACTGTACTAACAGCTTTTTTTTTCTTTGTTAATTCAGCTTTCTATGTTATTCTTGTCGTATGGATATCGGATCAATATGAAAGTATTTGTTGTCATACATCAATGAGTAAACGTCATTGGGTTCGGTAAGATTTCTTTTTTTTTGTGTATATTTTTAAACATGAGTTGATTTATATTTGTTTTCTTTTTATTAAAGATTTTTTTATATATATCATTTTGCATTTTATGCATATCATGCACGTTATAATGGTCAATATTCTCCTTTAGCATTGACAACAAGTTGTTGTTTTATTTTTCATTCAATGTTATATTTTTTTCATCATTTTGAATTACCTGTTATTGAAGCACAACTTGTTCATATATTTGTTGATCAAAATATAATAACGCAAACAACGTCTACAATAGAAAGAAACAATAGAGAAGAAACTACGACAATAATTTCTTAAAATATTTATGTTCTTGTCATTATGAATTGTGAATATCAATTCTCTTAAGTTACACTCTGTAAACGAGTGTGCATTTGAATGTACAGTGGAACTTTTTATTTTTGTCTGTCATCGATATTCTAATTAATAGTGTGATTATATTTCTTTTTTCTTTTCTCAATGCGTGCTTTTTCTTCTGTTTGGTTTTTGTTTTGCTTCCACAAACAGTATAAAAGAACGAGTGTATTAATAAATACAATCACATTCATTTTCATTTTTTTTTACTAAACAATAATGAAGAAATCAATAGATATAGTTCTTCTTGAAATAAAATTGTGATGAAATCTGAGATATTATTCAAATATAACATACATTATCGATAATGTTAAATGAATTGTGTAAACATTTGATTTCTAGAGATTCAATAAAAAAAAAGAAAACTTGTGACTGATTGTTGATCTCTGATATTCAGAGTTGATGAATGGATACTTGCAATGATATATGGCAAACATATACGAATAAGAAAAAGCTTTTTCCAAAAATGAAAAACCATCGCTAAATTTCAAATAATAATCAGATACTTTTATATTTAAAATATTACACTGCATAGTCGATGTAGAGAAACATAAAAATCTGATACATTTGTCTATATACATAACAACAATCATTTCATCGATAGGAAATATGAAAAAATATAACGTTTTTGTGTCATAGAACGTAAATATTCATTTTCATTTTATCTCATCTATTATTCTGGAAAGTTCACCAAGACCAGAGACCGTCAAAGGGCAGGAGAGTCCTGCCCACTCCCATGCGTTGCCATGCCCTGGTTGCCATGCAGAGCAGGGTAGGGCAAAATTTTTTTCCCTACTAACTTTTTCCTAGAAACATTAATTAAAAGATTTTTCATAGAATATCTATCGTTTATATCAAAAATAGTTAAAATAACTATCAACAAAATCTTATCTTAAATTTGATTCTTTCATAGCTTATCATAGTGCAACTTTTTAGATTTTCATCGGTTTTTTGTTGTTTCTGATATGTCATCCATGTTTGTTATTATACATTGAGTTTAGTTGATAGAAGCTTCAATTTTATTTCAATATTCTATTACTCTCATATATGGACGTATCCATCAAGACGTCCAAATAGCAATCACATTTTTTAAATTCCTTCTTCTTGTAGAACCCTATTAATAAAAGCTCAAGATTTAGCCTATGCGTTCCAGTGCATGGCTTTTAATTTTGTTATATTATATAAAATTTTATCAACTGGACGTACCAAAAAATGAAATACCGTGGATAACAGCTCAAACAAAAGCAAAACGCACTTTGGAATGAGCAACAAACAAAGGTACAATCTAGTGTATGGTTTACTATCGTAAAAAAGCTAACCACATAGAAAATTAATCAATTTACTAATCTAAAACAGAATAAGCACACAAACTTTCTATTTTGCATGACTTTTTTCAAGAATAAAAATGCGCAATAAAATAGGTAAACAAGGATTTGCTTTACGAAAATTATAAGCAGTGATGGAAGATAAAGAGACGAATAGTTATTAAACACTAGGTAAGGTGAAATACATCCAATAAAAAGATAATTGACATGTTTCAGCCCAATTGCCACAACTATAGTTGACAATATTGTTGCTGTAAATCCCATTTTACTTATAGTCATCATTCAAGCACCGAATGTCTCTTCCATATATTTTATTCATTTGTGAAAGATCGAGTATTGAATTCGATCATGAATTTCTTTTAAAAATGTTGTTCAAAATAAACTTTGCTTCAAAAGTTCGAAAAAAGGATGAGAAAACCTGAAATATCAATAGCAAACGTTCGAATGGTCAGAAATATCTGAACATTCCATTATTTTTGTGTAGATATATCTAATTTTGATCATATTCTCCTCATTGCTATCTTGGCGTCCTTCATAAATATCTTATAAAACTCCTCCAAGTAATATTAGTAAAAGATGAGTATTATATGTTAAAATAATCACAATATTTTTATCAGGTTCTCAGTTCGTTTAATTATGAAGCCTATTTATATGACATCTCTGTCCTGGCCTGCTCTGAGGGCAGGGCAGGACGAAAACAAAATTTCTGAACAGGGCAAAGGGTAGGACAGGGTAACATTGAGCAGGGCACAGAGTAGGGTAGGGCAAAAAAAAGTGCCCTATGACGGTCTCTGACCAAAATGATCAAAAGCTTTAGATAAATAAGAAAATTAGACAAAAGACGCTTGTAAACATTTGTTCTTATTATTTTTGTAGGCACTATGATGCATGACTTGTAGCATTTAAGTTTTTTTCTACATGGTTGTGATATAAAATAAACTAACATAAGTGGAAGACATGATTTTATTTAAGTAGATTCATATAAATAATATGCAGCAAAAATAGAGACTCGATCAATTTTTTTTTAATTTAATGAGAAGCTGATATTTCAGCTTATTCATACGATCATTATCAAAGTATCATAAGGTTAACTTAATCGACAACCATGAGTTCTGTGGAACAGTTCCGAAACTACAAAAATCTCGATTGTCTCGTTTCGCAAGACATTCGGGATTCGATCGAGTCCGAAAATTTTCGGCCTGATGGGCTCCTCGAAAAAAGTTTATCGCGCAGAACTCTAATATATTCATCTAGTCGTGGTGATAGTACATATGTTTATCTACCAAGTCGAATTGATGATATTTTCGTATAAATTGATTGAAATCTTAGTTTGTCATTAAAATAAAAATTGATCAATTCTCTATTCTTGTTGAAAAATAAACTGTCATTTTCTTAACCTTGTTTGTATTATTTGACATATAAAATGCTGTATTGTGTTATTTAAAATGAACACGAAAGTTAATCTAATTTTGTTTATTTATGCAGTAATTCATTGTTACTGCTTTTTTTTCTTGATTACACAGACAATAACAAACGAATTATATGTTTTATTCTTTTTTTTTTACACAAAAACTAAATATATATCTAGACATTTTACAATATAAATTATAATGTCAACATAATTTATTAAACAATTGTCTCATTCTTGTTCGAAATGCCCCACCAATAAAGGAATAAAGAAAAAAATTAATCGAATATGATGCATATGATATTAATTGTGTTAATAAAACGGCTAGATAAAGTATATGAATTATTATTTGATCATCAAGCATATTCGTATCATAAGTTAATAAATGTTTGTTTTCAGACGTTGTATAATTTTTATTTTGAATAAAAACAAAATTTTTCATTTGATTGTTTGTTAAATTTGTTATTTGTTTAAGTTTATCAAGTTCAGTATTTTCATCATAAACTGGTAAATCGATAATAGTATAAATTTTTAAAGCGATAATAAATAAATGTGCCGGTGCATTAAGTATAAGAAAACATGTTGAAACAAGAACAAGCATACGTGTAACGCGAATTGATTGTGTTGTTTGTGAATTCTTATTCGAAATAAAATCTACATTTTGTGATAGTCGGGATAATCTTCGTGAACTAAGTGCATTCGATATTCTCTGTTGATATTTGTTCTTTTTATCCCTGTCTAATCTAGTTGATTGATCAGATATCAATGATGAACCATTGACTGGTGATGCATTTAAATTTACTTCTTCAATTTGTTCCTAATATATAATAGAAATTCTTATTTAAAATGAAAACCTAAAAGTATTCTATATATTAAATAAAATATTTCATTAAAATACTATTTTTTATCACTAAGTACACGGATTAATCTTTCATCGATGCATCCCTTAAACATTATCTATAATCATGTGGCTCTTAGTCCATAAGCTAACTTTTTGTGACACAACCTATTTTAGATGAAGCCTATTATTAGTTCCACTAGTGTTTTTTATCAAATGTATGATTATATTTCTGCCTGACTTTTTCACCCTCATTAGAGCTTTATTTTTAACCTTTTTGTTTCAAATTACTTCCGAATTTGTTATTTACGTCATGTGTATACCAATTCATTAACGCTTGACTACTTCGAAAAGGTAAAGCGCTAACAGGTACAATGGTTATTATTTTGTTGAAATAAAATATATATGTGTATGACTATATAAAAGTATTTATAAACATAGACAATTTTTTGATAGAATATTTAAGTTTATGAAAAAAATAAGAATTGATTTTAATTATTAAAAAGAAAATGTCTTTCGTATTCATTTGGCTCCTCTTGTGAAATATTATTGATACATTAAATAAGTAAGAATTTATCTTACTATAAAATATTCGACAAATCTCATTTATTATATTTCTCTGATCAAAATAAACTGAACATAGATTTTCTTCACATTCAGGATTCATACAAGAGAAGTCAACTTTTGTTGCATGAACGATGAATGTAAAAAAAAAGTGTATTCCATCTATTTCAATGAAGAGGATACATTTATTTCTTGTTAAAGAAAAACATACCTTTGGAATTGGTATTTCACTGGTTTGAAATTCTGTTTCATTTGAGATATTACATGATGATCTTGGTTGACTTCTTTTTATTGCAGGACTACTTTTATAACTTTTGATCGATGAACAAGTTCGACTTATTTTTTTATCAATATCTGTTTCAAATAATATTTCATGTGAAGTATGTGGAATACCATGTGAGTAAGTTATTGAAGAACTATCTTTAGAACGATTCCTTTTTCTAAAATTATAATGTATACCATTTCTTACACGTTTATTCGACTTTAATAATGTTGATTGTACACTAAATGGTGAACGTGCATGTTTTCGAATTAAATTAACAATAAATATATTATATATTAGAATTAATGAAAATGGAATGACAAATGAAGATAAAGCATCAGCAATAAACCAACTTAATTTAAGTTCTTCATGACAATCAATATATGTATTGGTATGTGATAATACAATACAAAATATTAAACTAAACATGAAAATTAATAGAAGACGAATAATTGGTGATGATTTTTCTTGAACAGCTGCTTTTAATGGATAACGAACAGCTGTATAACGTTGTACAGTAAATAAAACAGTAAAACAAGCTGATAATAA